TGCCTTAGACCACTGAGCCATCTCACCAGCCCTAATCAATATCTTTTGAAGACACCCACCGTAAGACAACTTCCAGAACCGCTACAAAAATGGACAAGAGTGATGGGACAGCTGGGCTTCATGGTACCTGTCTGTGACTCTAGCGCTCAGGAGGCAGAGGCAGGGAGACCACTGAAAGTTCAAGGGCAGCTTAAATTGCATAGCTCCACATCGTTTCAAAGAAGAAAAATCAAACAAAAGCATGATGGGACCAGGTGTGGTGGTGCACACCTGTAATCCCAGCACTGGGGAGGCTGAGCCAGGAGGATCCTTGGGAGTTTGAGACCAGTCCGGGCTACTAAGTGAGCTCAAAGTCAGCCTGGATTGCATAGTGAGATCCTGTCTCAAAGAAAGGAAAGAAAGAAGAAAGAAAGAAAGAAAGAAAGAAAGAAAGAAAGAAAGAAAGAAAGAAAGAAAGAAAGAAAGAAAATTTTAGTTAAGCAACTTTGGCAAGGACACCACCGTCTGACCATGTCCTGCAAAATGCCACAAGGCCTACAGCTTTCAGGAGGTTCTGGTGTACAGAAGTCCAAGTTCCAATGTACACAGAACTTCCTCTCCACCCTGCCCCACGGCCCCCTGGTCCCGTGACCCCCTGTGCGCCCCTCTGGAATCAAGTTGGTGAACTTTCATTGCGGGCTCCCCAAATCCCAGGGACCCACAGCCCAGGCACAGAGGGAACAAACACATGGCATCGGGATGGGTCCTGGGGCCCGTCAGCTCCCCTGTGGGGGCACAGGTCTCCTGGATTACCTGGCGACTCTCGAGGGGCTGCTCCTCCTGGGTCCCCAGCTTGCGCAGTCTTGCCCGCTGGCCCTCGGGCTCTGTCCCTGGCTGCTGCAGTTCTTCCGGGATCGCCCGGGGCCTGGAAGGCAACACCCTGAGCTCGCTCCCCGCGTGGGCCTGGGTCCGGCCTGCAGCCAGCTCCCCGGGCCCTTTCGGGTCCTTCCTGGGAGAACAGACAAGGGGGCCTCAGCTCCAGCCTGGGGCGCTCGGTTCTCTTTTCCTATCTCTGTTCTTTCTCCACAGGGTCTCCTTGATGCACAGGAGACCAAATGAAGGACACCAATTCTCCAGGTCACAGACACTTTCACGTCAGTGTCAGGGGAGTCAGGATTTCACTGTCTGGTGTTAGTCACTGTCTTTCAGAGACTGGAAATCAGAGAGGCTGAGAAGAGGCCCAAGGCCAGGGTCAGACAGCTCAAGATGGCAGCTCAGGATCTGGATCTGTGTCTCTGTGGCCCTACTTTAATATTTTGTAAATAACTAAATTAATGAATAATAATAATTTGTAATTTGGGGCCTGTGGTGGCAGTCCATGCATGTGATCCCTCTACTCTGGGAGGCTGAGGCAGGAAGATTATAAGTTTTAGCCCAGTCAGGGCAATTTACCAACTTAACCAATTCAGTGAGACCCCATCCCAAGATTGAAAATACCAAAAAAGAGATGATGATGTAGCTCGGTATCAAGGCCTTTCTGTTCTACTTTTGGTTTTTTTGGTGTAACCGGGGACTGAACTCAGACCCTTGCGCTTGCCAGGGAAGCGCTTATTCCACTGAGCCTATTCCTGGCCTCTGTTCTACTTCTTATACATACACATATTTTAATTTTATTATTACTATTAATTGTGGATTTTTGATATGAACTCAATATGATCCTCCTGCCTCAGCCTCCTGAATGCTGGGATTATTACCCATGCCCCCATATATATTATTTGGTACAGGGTCTCTCTATGCAACTCAGACTCATAGTGATCCTCCTGTTTTCAGCTTCCCCAGCACTGGGATTACAGGAGTGCCACCACTCCCTGACTCAGTAGCCAGCTCAGCACGCCCAGGGGCGGGGCTGGCACTGCACACGGTATAGGGGATTGAACCTCAGTCCCTGTGCTTGCCTGAGCAGGTGCTTAGTCCCCTGAGCTGTCTTACCGGCCCTGCATGCATACATTTTTTAATGGAAATTTAATTTCTTTCTTTTTTTTTTTTGTGGAACCGGGGATTGAACTCAGGCCTTGCACTTGCCAGGGAAGCACTTATTCCACTGAGCCATCTCCCCAGCCCCTGGAAATTTAATTTCTATCTTCTAATAACTTCAAAATTAAAACATTAAAAATCTGTCATTACTTTTTTAAAAAATTTTATTTATTTATTTGTGTGTGTGTGTGTGTGTGTGTGTGTGTGTGTGTGTGGCCAGCTCAGCCCACCAGGGGGCGGGGCTGGCTGGCATGTGGTGCTGGGGGATTGAACTGTGGTCCCTTTGCTTTGCTAAGCTTGTTCTAAGTAGGTGCTTTAGACCACTGAGCCATCTCACCAGCCCCCTGAATTTTCTCTATTTAGAAAGAACACATTTTGGGGCTGGGGAGATGGCTCAGTAGAATAAGTGCTTGCCCCGCAAGTGCAGGGGCTTGCGTTCAACCCCCGGTTCCGGAAAAAAAAAAAAAAAGAAAGAAAGAAAGAAAAAAATAACACATTTTCACTCTAGAAAAAAAAACCCAAAATATATACAAGATTTAGAAAATGATAACAGTGACAGCATGTGGTTCTTCATGTGTTGCTGGGCCTCTTGGCCTCTTTTTATTCATCCTTCTACTAATTCAGTGAATAAATATTTATTGAGCATCTACTAAGAATGTGCCAGGCACAGTACCAGGCATGAGGGGTCTGAGGCTGAACAGGGTAGATACAAATGCCCCTTCAAGAAGACACATGGTAGAAGGTGGCGTCTGGGACAGACACAAGTTTGATACTGATAATTCTCTAGTGGGATTGGTCCCATATAGGCTGCTGGGCCAGCTGGCCTGCTTCGCTCTGGGGCTTCATTCCTTCATTTGGGTTATAGTGGATTCCCTTGGAAAGTCCAGCTCACCTTGGTCTTTCTCGAGGCCACTGGTCTTGAGTCTTGAGCTCTGAGCACCCTTCCTTGGAGGTTTCTGTGTGTTGGGGCCCCCTTTCTGGCTCTCCTAGAGTTGACAAAAGCTTCTTCCCAGTGTCCATTTCTGTGGCATCCAGGGAGTCTGCCTGCAACAGAGACATCCATGGTGCTGGCTCAGGGCTGGCTGGAGTGAACCCCAGCTCCCTGGAGGGGGGGCATGGCTCCTGGCCTCAGGGTTAGGGACATTCTGTGGGCTTTCTAGGGAAGGCACTGGAGAGAGAGGAAGAGTTGAAGGGGAGGAGGAGAGGCTGGCTGCAGGCCTGACCCAGCTGGAAGCTGTCACCAGCACGGAGGGCTCTGGCAGGAAGCTGGGGTCTGCATTCCTTCATAGGAGGCAAGGAGGCCCCCCTGAGGACAGCTGGAGAGCACCCTGAGGACTTCAGCCCCTTGTGGGGTGTTAGGGAGGACCACCCACAGTTACTACTGCTGCAGAGCTCAGGTTCTGTGTGACCGCCACCACCTCAGCCTCTCTCCAGCTGTGACCTTCAGCAGTGGCCTAGACCTGGCCCCAGGCCTATGACCTGACTCCATGCACTCAATGGCCAGATTATAAAAAAAGATTCTGATGGAGCCAAAGCCAATGAACACCCACCAGAGAGTGGCAGGGCTTGGGGCATGAACTTTCCAACACACACACATACACAGACACACACACGCGCACAACATGAAACAAGTGAAGCTCAGAGGGGTGCAGAGACACACCCAAGTCTGCGTAGTCACTGCAGGACAGGGACCCTACAACTCTGCTTGTGGGGCAAACAAATGGGCAGGGAAAGAAGCCCAAGACGTTGCCTGGCTTCCCTCCAAACCTCCTCCCCTCCGGGCCCTTTCACTTCCACTGTTTGCCTCATTCCCAAGCCAGGGACTGAACCCGGGGCCCTGTACAAGTGGAGCACACCCTCTACCCCAACCTCATCCCCAACCCTACAGTAACATCTTGGCCCTGAGGCAGCTGGAAGTGGAGATGGGCTGCTCTCTGTCTTCAGTGCGTGCCACCTAGTGCTTTTAAAGACAGAAAGACTGGACAGAAAGAGGTTGTGGGGCTGGTGGATGCTGTTACGGTTTGGCTGAGTGTTGTACAAAGCCTGTGCAGAAAACGTTTGCACCCTGGGTTGTCACTATTTAGAGGTGGTAGAACATTAAGAGGTGGAGCATAGCAGGAGGTCTTTGGGCTACTGTGGGAGTGGCTGTCCCCCTTGAGGGCAACAAGGGCAAACCCCAGACTCTTCCTCTTCCTTTATTGCTTCTTGATCAAGAGGTGATTAGTTTTGTTCTGCCACACACTCCTCCCACGACGGCCAGAAGCCATGGGGCTCATGACCATGGACTGAACCATCTAAGACTGTGAGCCAGTATGAACCTTTACTCTTGATAAGTCAGTGGTTTCAGGTAGTTTGTTACAGTGATGGAGCACTAACTAACACAGAAGCCTAGGATGCAGGCTGGGACCTGGGAGGTGTATGGATGGCCTTGAGTAGCTGCCGGAGGAATAGAAATGTTATGAAGGGGGCTGGTGGCCATGCAGGAAACCTGTTGGATTGTGCAGGAGATCCTTGGCTTGCTCTCTAGCATCTTACTGCTGCAGAAGCCAGTATTCTTTAGGTGGGAACTTTCCCTTCTCTATTGGGCTTATCAGGTTCAGCGGAGCTAACTAGAAAACTTGGGTACCGTTGTACCAAGAAATACAGGCCACTCCCCACTGCCATGGCGATTGGCTCAGGGAGAGCATGTGACCTCATCTTGGCCAATGAGAGAGACGCCAGAGACTCGCTTCACCTGCTGCGAAGCGGGTGTCTTTCTGCTGGGGATACTAAGTCAGAGGACTCAAGATAGGGAGAGGGAAGCCTGAGGGAGCCCAGGATGTCCTTGTCACCTTGTAGGGAAAACCTGCTTGAGAATAAATTCAACCCAGGGGAAGGTGGAGCCTAGAGATACTCATTCAGTGCCTTGGTCCAGCCATTCCTGAAGTCTATGGTGGATTGCCTTGTTCCCTAAGCAAATATGCTCTTATTCTTGCTTAATTCAGTTTGAGCTGGGTTTTATGTCACCTGTAACAGTTTTTTTTTTTCTCTATTTGTGCATTTGGTACAGAGTCTCACTACGCAGCTCAGACTCATACTGATCCTCATGTTTTCAGCCTCCCTAGCGCTGGGATTACAGGGGTACACAACACACCTGGACTCCATCGCTGGCTCAGCACACCCTGTGGGTGGGCCAGCGCAGCATGTGGGACTAGGGATCAAACCCTGGTCGCTGTGCTTGCCAAAGCAGGAGCTTCGTCCACTGAGCTATCTCACCGGCCCTTTAGAGTCTTTTTTTTTTTTTTCAGAACCGGGGATTGAACTCAGACCCTTGTGCTTGCCAGGGAAGCGCTTATTCCACTGAGCCATCTCCCCGGCCCCCCTTTAGAGTCTTAATTAAAGCAGATGGGGAGGAAGCCTGTGCTGGGAAAAGGAAAGGGGCCAGCTGGGAGTGAAGGTGTCAGAACATGAGGCCGAGTCCTTACCTGGCCGAGTGCTGATGCGGTGGACTCGGCATCAGCCCTCGCACTGGTGGGAGTCAGCGCAGGCGTCGGCTGGACCCCTGGAGCCTCAGTCCTGTCTTCGAGATCCATCCGCGTGGTCCTGTTGGCCATCGTTCTGGGGCCAGGAAGGGTGCTGAGTGAGGGGCATCAGCTGCTGCGTGTGCACAGGAGAAACTGAGTCAGGGTCTCATGCAACCTGTTGTTTCACTGCAGCTTCAGCAGCCCCGGGGAGTCTGCAGTGCCGAGGGCCTGGCTGGGGGTGGGGCGGGTGCTGGGCCTGGCAGGCAGGATCAGCGGCAACCCAGAGCTGGCCGTCCCTAAAGCTCCTGCAGGTTTTCCTCACGCGCCCACTGATACGAGGAAAAGCAGGCTCTGGGAGGCCCCCAAGAAACTTGCTCCAGGTCTGCAAGGAGAGCCGTCCTCCCCGCCCTAGAGCCAGAATAATGCCATCTCAACTGGCTGCTCTTTAGGGTCCAGCAGGCTAGCCAGGACCAAGCGCAGCATGCCAGGTCATCCTCCCCACAGCTGGGTAGAGCTTGCCCAGACTGCAGAGTTCCTGGAAAGGACAGGATAGGAACCGGGAGCATGCAGCTCTTCCCAAGCATTCAGGGTGGCCGTGAACTTGCTTTGGAGCCAGATTGGCCTCAAATTCACAGGGAACCTCCTGACTCAGCCTCCTGAGTGCTGGGATTACAAGCGTGAGCCATCGTGCCTGGCTCTTCTTGTCTTTGATCCTCCTTTTGCTGTCTTGATTACAGCCCTATAAGATCATGAGCTCAACAAGGTGTGGGGGGGGGAGGGGGGAGGGGAGCCAACCACCACTCTGTAGACCTCGCTGCATGGAGAAGTCAGGGCTGGGTCCAGACCCCAGGAGTTCTCTCTTCCTCCACCTTCTCACATTAGAGTGCCCCTAACCCTTCTCCTTTCCTCTGAGCCTTCCCCTCCCAGAGATGGGTGAGCCTTCTGGGGACCTTCTCTCCCTGGGCCCTTTAATTATCCCCCATTGTCCACTGAACTTTGGAAGTCTAAGGCCCCAACATTCCATGAGCTGAAGTGTTTGCGGGGCCTCAGAGGAGACCCAGCCCCATCTGTGGCTGAGAATTGAGACCAGAAGAGGGAAACCCCAGCCCCAACAGAGGGGTATGGAGGCTAAGAACAGACTCAGGGTAGGGGTGGCTAGTATAAACCAGCACCCCTCTTGGAGCCCTGGGAATCCTTCTCTGTGAATGGCTTTACTGAAGTGTAGTTCATGCACGAATACTATTTACCTTTCAAAAATGTGCAACTCAGCACTGTCTAGTACTTTCTAGTACTTTCCAGTACTCTCTAGTATATGCACAGAGTTGGGCAACCATCAGCAGTTTTGGAGTGTTGTAGTCACCCTCAGAATAAATTCCACACCCCTTGGTCAGTGCATCTTACCGCCCCGCCCCACCTCTAGCACCAGGCAACCACTAACCTTTCTGAAGCCGAAGATGTCCTTATTCTGGATATTTCATGCAAGTGGAATCAGACAGCATGTGATTTTCAGTGATGAGCTTTTTTACTTGTCAGAATGCTTTCTTTTTT